GTGATTGCAATCGCAGCATTGACCTGCTGACAGCAACTGTGGCCCAGGCAAGCAATGCTGTATGCGAGCGTGTATTAGTCGGCCCTGCCCCAAGGCAAGGGCGACTGTAGTGGGCAGTCCGGGGTAGAAACCAACATGATTTATCTTTATAACCGCTGTGTCATCTCCCTGTGAGCTATGACTCCCTGCTGTACATGTACATGTACTAGTGCCATACTCTTCTACTCATACATGTAGCAGGGGGCGGTTCGAAATCAGAACGGTTTGACATTCAAATTGTGCGGAGCCAAACTGATCATCAGTGTGAATTGTTTCATATTTTGGTGTCAGAGAGGTGGCTCCAAACAGGAGCAGTGTTGGAGTCACTTCAAGTTCACCCTGAGAGTTCCGAAATTCTGTAATTGCTATCGCTACACTTTGATCCTAGAGGGTGGTGGCGTTCCCACGGCTGATGCGGAAAACTTGGCTTCCAGCCGAGTCTCACGCGAACCGTGAAATTTATTTATTACACACCCTTAGCAAACAACGGTAGCGCTATTTTTTTACGGTACTCGTACCTAGATCACCCAAATAGCGTTGAAGCTGCAGCGTAGAAACGTTATGGGGGCTGATTTATCGTTATGGCCAACGGTACGTGTTTTGGCCAAATATTGCATAGTCCGTACGCATTTCACCTTGTATTGCGTACATGGTGACAAAAATGGTTGTACCGCGCGAAATCAAAGCTATTCTCGTGGCAACAGCGTACTAAAAATAGCGTGCATCTTGCTAAAGGTCGAACCCAAATCACGGTATTTTCCCCCTTACGATAATACCGTTACAACATAACGTGTTTTGCTAAGGGTGTCTAATATCGCTACACGACGGCCAGTACAGAGAAACAATAAGCCTTGCGTGTGCTTCCATTAGTTTTCATTGGTATACAGGCTTTATTGGCGAGAGGCGAGCCGCTGTTTATCTACGACAAGAAGAAGCAGCTGCGTGGCAAAAACCGCAGGAAATTAGTGGTGGCGATACGAGCGATCTCCATCTTCGTTCAAAGATAGTGTTTCTTTGTGCTTTTAATATAGGTATTTCCAGCTTTGGCTAGTTGTTGGGGAGTAGATAAAGGTGTGCTTGACCCAGTGTCCGCTGGAGATCGGTTTAGCCAAAGTTGGTTCTTCGAAAGACGTCTAATTCAAGTTGCAGTGCGGAAGGAGCACGTCAAAAACTCACCTACCTGGCATGGTGCTTCTGGTTGTCGTAGATCCATGAAAATTTGGCTCCGAGTGAAACACATCGTAGTCTCACTGCGACATATGTTTTCGAATCAAATACCGAGAGAGAAGGTGACTTTGAGCCTGTTCCCATTTTCGTGAGCGCTCCGATATGGAACCGCCGCCTCTACAATGTATTCTCCACTGTAGTAAAGCAAGACACAAGTGTATGATCTACATAGCGTTTACTGAACGTTATGGGACTGCACACACAACATGCACATGTAACCTTGGCCTGAGGTTACAAATTACATTCACAGGAGCATAAACTCCCCAGCCCCCAGCCAGGCACCAGTTCCAACCATGACAATACGTCGGAGATCAAAACTGCAACTCTCAAGTCCAAAAACATTCTCAAGAACCAAAAGAAAAAACCAGCATCATAACAGAGCGAGCCAACGAAAGGATACGCATGCGTGTGTGCCTGTGAGTTTGTACGAATGACATAATTATGCATACATGTCATGAAGTAGAGTCACATTCATAGCTATAATTAAGAGTGGAAATATTACTACGCCAAACGGAACATGTGCAACATGTTACACACACACACACACACACGCACACACACACGGGCATAAACATGCATTGTGTACCTATGCAAATGCTGTACATGTACTGTACTTGCTTCTACCTTGCTGTAGTGTCTGGAAGTGATCCACACCATGCGATTTCCCTCATCACCCCTACCTTCCACCAAGGAATCTAGAGGACACAACTCCTCCAAGCCATACACATCATCGTCAGCTGATCCATCGTCCAATATTGATGAGACCGGATTGTCGATTCATGGCGACGTTGCTGCTGGTGCTGCTGCTGATAGTTGCGCGTCGCCTGCTGGCAAGAAGCCCATCATACAAGGCCCTAAGAAGTTATCAGGAACACAGGTGGACAGCAATACGCAGTAAGAACTAGGGAAGGCTTGTAGCCGGGATACAGAACACTTGTAGATGACAATCGTCAGTGATCAGTGATCAGTGATTACCGTATTTTCCGCAGTATAAGCTGCACTGGAGTATAAGCCGCACCCCGATTTTTGTTCTAAAATACAGACATCTACCTTGTATTCCCCCCCCCCCCCCCGTTCATTTGACCATTGTAGTGTAAACCACACTGACTTTTTGTGGTTGAATTATGAGTGTTTAAAGTGCGGCTATTACTCCGAAAAGTACGGTATTGATCAGTAGACACTAGCCAGTGCAGTGGTCAGTGCAGTGGTCAGTGGTCTTTGTTGTTTTTACACAGTTACGTGTGTTTGCACCTGTACAGCCAGTCACACGCCAAAATGGCTGTCAACTGAACCATTGGCCAGTATAGTTTCCAGTTAGACATGCTGCAGTGTTCACAAAGTACAACTATTTGTCTGAACCGTGCACAACTTTGGTTTGAGGGAATGCAGGACGAGTTCACGGTGTGTTTAGCGAGCGGGCTTATGAAGATTCCAGTCTGGTGAACTTGCCATGAAATAAAAAAGACCAAAAAGTAGGGATTCACTGGCCAGAAAAAGCCACTTATAGCTGTGTGGTGTAGACCAGGCTGAATAGTGGCGGCCAATTCTTCAGCCTTGCAAGCTGTTGAATGGTGCAATCCCAGCACAAGCGCTATCATGGGTGTCAAATGACCCAATGGTGTGTGTGTGTGTGTGTGTGTGTGTGTGTGTGTGTGCGTGTGTGTGTATGTGTGTGTGTGTGTGTGTAGTCCACTTGTTGATTCTCCAGCATCGTCACCCTGGTCTATGTCTGGGTCCAGTAGGTCACGCATTGCAACAGGGATTGCAGCGAGGACTTCTGCTAATGATATGGGTACCGGTGGTGGTGGTGGTGGTGGTGGTAGTGCTGATCAAGCCGACAAAACAACCTCTCTGACCAGATCTGAGAGTAGTTTATCTGCTGCCACTATTGCTGCTGCGGCAGGAGCTGATGAAATTGATGGTAAGATATTTATTTTGTGTTCTACTGTGTGTGTGTGTGTGTGTGTGTGTGTGTGTGTGTGTGTGTGTGCGTGTGCGTGTGCGTGTGTGTGTGTGTGTGTGCGCGCGTGCGCGTGTGTGTGTGTGCGCGCGCGTGTGTGTATAGAGATATACTGAATGTTCGATAATGCTTTTCGATCTAACAGCGCTCCACGTATATTCAAATAGGACATTTCAAGGTTTAAAATAGCACTAGATCTGAGGGGGGGGTGTCGAGCACTGCTGTGAGATCAGCAGCCCCACCTGTATCTACAGTGTCTGAGGAGAGCCATGACACTTTGGAGAATAGAAGGATGGCTTTGCAAAGCCCACGTTGATGCTTCACAGTGTATCACTTGTAGACTGTAACTAGTAGATTATTCATTCGTTCGTCGAGCGGATAGTCGTTCTTGGAAGTTGCAGTTTGTAGTATTATTTGTACTGTAAAGTATTGCGAGAGCGCCCCCGCCGTCTCGTCCTTTCATGGTCCTCTTGTGGAGGTGGTGTCCTGTCTGTAGGTCATACGACACGTACCATGTACACACATTGCACATTGTGCAGTCAATCCGTACTCGATTTAGCTTTCAAGTGGACGCAAGTTCCACACGAAACATGCTATGTGCAGCCTTAGTACACTACGGTTCACACACCGTACACCACGCCGTACTGCACTCTGCCATACAATCATACACCACGCCTGGCTGTAAAATCAAGGTGGGGCGCTCTCGCGAGACGGGGCACTCTCGGGGTACTTGGCGGTGGTTTTATTATTATTAAATAATTTACTTAACCCTTTATTACCGGATTACTTGCACAGCATGCACCAGAATTACGAATTTCAGCACAATTTCCAACTTCACCAGGTCATAACTTTGGTCTCCTTCACTTGATTTTCACAATCTAGGGCTCGTTGGAAAGCTCTTGGCCAGAGCAACGCCAGGGTACCAAGCTCCATTATCCAGTCGCCACAAATCAGGCGCGGTAACACAGCAAAGACGTCTCCAAGCCTGATATGCAAGCAAATTCGTCACATCAACGCCATTCCACTCTCCTTCATCGCAGAACGCTCAAATTTGTTTGAGACGATTCAAACTTCAGCCGACTACGTCATTATCATGTGCTTAGTCGCTCAAAGAGCACACGAAAAGGGATTTCCCCCAAAAATGGCGAAGTGATCGATCAAAATTTGAATTTGCCGAGATGAGAATACGGCGCGCGATATCTCTGGCGTCCGACATCGTAACTCTTCGGCGATTGTTGCATTGGATAGCTTGGAGTTTCCGCTACCAAATAGATCTTTCGATTGTTGAATTCGCACAAGAAATGTTGGAGTTACGAAGATATTACTGGCCTACAGACTTTCGATCATATATGATCGAAAGTCTGCAGGCCGGTAATAAAGGGTTAAAGGGGAACTTAAGGCAAAAATTAAAATTTCACCAGTTGTAGTCTTCGGGGTGCTGAGTCGAATGGTCTTGGTCCGAGAAAGCTGAGACGCTCCCTTCCTACTTGAATCCCAATCGAACTCGCGCACTTCCACCGAAACTGGGTGACTGCGCCCTACTAGATGGGGATTTGTATGCAAAATGTCACTAAAAGCGCCATTTCGTTCTTATAAAAGCACGGATGACCGCCATTGGCCCATATGTTGTACTCTTTTGGACGCTGAGTCGACTGGTTTTGGTCCGAAAAGGCTGCGATGCAGCGTTCCTCCTTTATTCCCAATCGAACATGGTTGAAGAAGCGGTCACGTGCTCCTGGGTGCCAAAATCACCTGGTCACCACGCCAGCAGGCGACAACTTTCACACCAAGGTTCAACTCGAGTGACAGGACTGCACCCAAAAAAGGTCAAAACAGGCTGTAAGTTGTACCCTGCAGGCACGGTGACCAGGTGACTGGTGTACGCAGGAGCACGTGACCGCTTGTTCGACCATGTTCGATTGGGAATTAGGGGCGAACGCTGCATCGCAGCCTTTTCGGACCAAAACCAGTCGACTCAGCGACCAAAAGACTATAACATATGGGCCAATCGCGGTCATCCGTGCTTTTATAAGAACGAAATGGCGCTTTTAGTGACATTTTGCATACAAATCCCCATCTAGTAGGGCGCAGTCACCCAGTTTCGGTGGAAGTGCGCGAGTTCGATTGGGATTCAAGTAGGAAGGGAGCGTCTCAGCTTTCTCGGACCAAGACCATTCGACTCAGCACCCCGAAGACTACAACTGGTGAAATTTTAATTTTTGCCTTAACTTCCCCTTTAAGTTAAAAGTTTGCATTTGTGTAACTAGGAAAAATGTGGGCACAGGTTATGCGATCAAGTCCACCAACTAAATCAGATTTTGAACAGCCAGACATGCACAATCTAGCACAATCGCTTAACTTGTGACCCCATTTTTCCATGTTACAAATTGTTTCCTTGGCTCACCGTCTGAGTTTCCTTTTATCTGTATGGTTTGCTGACTGCCTATTTCCAGGTTCCCTAGCTGCTGATATTGTGGCGGTGGACGTGAACATTAGAGTTGCCTTTGTGCAGTTCATTCTTAATGATGATGTCCTGGCCAACTACCGGCGATTCCTGCGAACAATCCGTCTGCACTCCCGTCCAGTTGTTATGTTACAGAAGAATGGATTCTTGGCTTCGGTCAGGAGTGGTGCATCTTCTTTCTTGTCATCTCTAGCATCCACACAGGTTTGTCTGCGTGTGTGTGTGGGGGGATGTGGACCATGTATAGCCAGCTAGTTCTGTTGGTGGGCGCAATTATACCAGATAGTGGTGGGGTCTGTTGCCATCAGGCTTGGCACCTTGAAGGTGTATTGTTGTACCTGCCCCCTTTGGTGCTTTCAGGGTTCGTTTACGTTCTTTTCCAACGTATTCGTATTGACCAATGGGCTACCTCTGGCTAGATCAACTCTTGTGTGATCATTGATCAATGGTGCTGGTGTCGTATATATCAGATCCACTCTGATTTGGCCACCCATAAGTATCAAGTATTACATTCACTAGGGGCAGGAGTGTATATGCAATTGAATCCCAGGACGGATCCTTTTCCTTCACCCTATCCTCTCCCCCTTATTATGGTATGGTGAGTGCATACGTGGACTCGTGTTCAAGTCCTCCCAGAGTTTGGGATCTCAGAGGGTGTCGTTCGCAGGGCGATTCAATAGGCAATTGAATAATCTTTCCGAGATTCCTTTTGAATCTCTCTCTCTCTCCCCTCTCCCCGGGAGACCCGCATGACTAGGCTAAGTAGTACCATAGCAGCCTTGCACACTATTCAATACGGCTATCAGTTTTCCCAGCACAAGTTGCTATGGCTTGTGCTGTAGCACCTCTATCATCACATTTGGCGATGGGTACCCAAGGTTCAAGGTGTGTGTGTGTGTGTGTGTGTGTGTGTGTGTGTGTGTGTGTGTGTGTGTGTGTGTGTGTGTGTGTGTGTGTGTGTGTGTGTGTGTGTTGGCTGTTGGCTGTTGGTAACCACCCAGGAAAATGAAAGAAAAGTCAGGAAGAGTCTGAGAAAGAGAATGCATGCCGGAGTATGTGGTGTGATGTGTCTGCCGTAGCATTACTATCATCGCCTCCGGCGATGGGCGTCAAGGGTCAAAGGTGTGTGTGTGTGTGTGTGTGTGTGTGTGTGTGTGTGTGTGTGTGTGTGTGTGTGTGTGTGCGTTTGTGTGTGTGTGTGTGTGTGTGTGTGTGTGTGTGTGTGTGTGGTGTGGTGTGTGTGTGCTTGTGTGTTGGTATGCTGTTGTCACCGTACAGGCGTTGGAGACTTTTGGAGAGTTTGAGTTGAACCCATCCACCACTGTTCATTGGAGAGTCCAGCAAGGTAAGCTACCTTGCTCTACCCGATACCGCCTGACTCTGCCTAGCTCTGCTTAACTCTGCCTAGCTCTGCTTAACTCTGCCTAGCTCTGCTGAACTCTGCCTAGCTCTGCTTAACTCTGCCTAGCTCTGCTTAACTCTGCCTAGCTCTGCTGAACTCTGCCTAGCTCTACCCGATTCTACAGTGATAGTAACTGAAAACCCACCCCAGGAGCTGTGCGCTCGCACTGCACCAACACAGCACGCGACCACAGCAGCCTCAAAGCATGGACAGTGCATGCATATCTACAACTGCTGTACTGTACTCATGGCGTATGTTGCAGTTACACCAGAAGCAACGGGGAGGATCACAGACTTGAGTACCACAGAACACGTGTATGCAGTAGTAGTGACTGCAATACACAGCCATATGCAAAAGCAGAAAAGGAATGCTGGAAAGTGGTCTTCACTCTTTGTTTGCATGCCAGGCGCATGTATACTACAGTAGTCTACTTGCCATCATTCATGTTAGCTCTGCTCGTACGTAAGAATCCAGGGTCGGATTTCAGTTGTCATCGCTGTACTTGCTTGACTCTGCTGGCCATACATACTCTGCCCACTACATACAACCGTTTATTTGTCTAGTTTAGTAGTTGGTTTTAAACCTAGCCTATTGGATCAAAGGCTGGTTTCCCCATTGGATCAACGCCTGGTCTCCCCATTGGATCAAAGCCTGGTTTCGCCATTGGATCAAAGCCTGGTTTCCCCATTGGATCAAAGCCTGGTTTCCCCATTGGATCAAAGCCTGGTTTCCCCATTGGATCAAAGCCTGGTTTCCCCATTGGATCAAAGCCTGGTTTCCCCATTGGATCAAAGACTGGTTTCCCCATTGGATCAAAGACTGGTTTCCCCATTGGATCAAAGCCGGGTTTCCCCATTGGATCAAAGCCTGGTTTCCCCATTGGATCAAAGCCTGGTTTCCCCATTGGATCAAAGCCTGGTTTCCCCATTGGATCAAAGACTGGTTTCCCCATTGGATCAAAGACTGGTTTCCCCATTGGATCAAAGCCTGGTTTCCCCATTGGATCAAAGCCTGGTTTCCCCATTGGATCAAAGCCTGGTTTCCCCATTGGATCAAAGCCTGGTTTCCCCATTGGATCAAAGACTGGTTTCCCCATTGGATCAAAGCCTGTTTTCCCCATTGGATCAAAGCCTGGTTTCCCCATGGGCTTACGCAAGTCTCTACAGTGCTGTTGTTACTCCATGCCTCGTTGTACTTGCTGTTGCTGCCATTATCATGATTGTGTGTGTGTGTGTGTGTGTGTGTGTGTGTGTGTGTGTGTGTCTGTGTGTGTGTCTGTGTGTGTGTCTGTGTGTGTGTCTGTGTGTGTGTCTGTGTGTGTGTCTGTGTGTGTGTCTGTGTGTGTGTGTTTTACTGTTGTTGCTGTTCTTATTGTTCTTATCGTTGTTATTGTTGTGGTTGTTGTTGATGTGGTGCTGTGGTTACTGCTGTACACGCAGGTATAACACGTGCAGTGTTGATTGGTGATAAGCATAAGTGGTACAAAGACAAGCTCTCTGTGCAGCACTACAGTGTGTATGAAGGCTGTGAATCGCTCAGTGCGGCCATGTTACAAGCTAAGTCGGCAACAGCGAAGTCTGATGATGACAATAGTGATGAAGAAGACATCTTCGATTCTGATAGCAGGTTTGTATTGAACTGTGTGTGTGTGTGTGTGTGTGTATGTGTGTGTGTGCATGCGTGCGTGCGTGCGCGTGTGTGTATGTGTGTGTGTGTCTGTCTGTCCACCATATCCGGTTTGCTAATCATGCTACTTTAAGTATACTATGCCACTAATATTGGATTACTGTTCTTGCCAAATGGACTATCGAGTGGCAGCATTTTGGTATATGCAGCGTCAGCATCCCCCTACCTAAATACACGTTCTCTCTCTCTCTCTCTCTCTCTCTCTCTCTCTTTATTTTGTTGTGTGTGTGTGTGTGTGTGTGCATGCGTGCGTGCGTGCGTGTGTGCGTGTGTTACTCAGCTGGAGCGGTGAATCGTCCAGTAATTCTTCTCTGATTCTGATCACTGATGAAGAGTTAGTTGGTGATGATGGCCCGCAGACTGTCAAGGTGGTGCGGCGTGGAATTGAAGAAGCAGTACTGCCTGCTACGATAGGCTCTGGTGCATACTGGAATGCAAGCAATGACAACAGCAGCTCAGCAGGCAGCAGTCACCAGTCACCCTCAGCTTCTGCTGCAACAGCAGCAGCAGCATCATCGTCATATGCTGATAGAACCGGTGGCATAGTGCAGCATGCAACATTGCCATCAGTCAACTTCACCAAGGCCAGCTCTTCTTCCCAATCCTCATCCACTTCACGGTCATCCGCTGCTCGGTCACACAGTGACGCATCGGAAATAGTTGATTCCCCGCACTCTGCCAAGGCTGTAGATTTCTCACCAGGTGCTGATTCTACCAATACTGCTGATATCTCCATGGTAACCACACTCTCCATGGTAACCACACACACCTCACCCCTGCATGATCTCACTCAGTCATCAGGTAACTGTAGTTGTGACGAAGCAGCCTCTGCCATTCCTACTCACTCTCAACAGGCGCCCGAGTCATATGCACCTGTGCATGATGTCATTGAACAACCAGATAGTGACATCACTGGAAAGTCTGCAGCTGGTGATGTTACTCTACCATCTGCAGCTAGTGGTGATGATGTCACCGGGCGGCTTGCAGCTAGTGATGATGATGTCACTGGGCAGGCTGCCGCTGGTAATGACATCGCTGTAGAACATGGCAGAGTACAGGATGTTGAGTGCAATGCTGTGGTGGATCGGACTGTGAGCAGTACAGCACCACCAACACAGAAAGACACTGGCGAGAAGTCCGAATGCACGTCTCCTTCCTTCTCTGAGAATAAGCTGCCTGAAAGCTCTGTGCCTCCTTCCGCTGGTGAAACCCAGGAAGGTAGCCAGAGTGCTCACGGTGATACTAAATTGGAGGAAACCGTTCCAGCCACCGATGATGATGATACATCTGACAATGTGCCGGCGTCGTCTGCAGCAGCGCAGGGTGAGGATACTACCGATTTCTTCGCAGCTAATGCAGCTGTGCGCCAAGTCAAGTTCTCCTTTCCTTCATCACAGGACAAAAGTAGTGGCTCAGAGGACTATGTTGTTCCGCCGTTGGTCAAGCAGTACAAACACATGCGTCCATCACAATCACCAGGCAGTGATTTTGAGATTGTCTTACCACCGATTGATTACCCGGAAACTTCTCAACAGTTACCCATCGTACAGAAGCTAGCCGAGGAGTTTGACTCGGTTTCTGATGCGGTAAGTTTGACGTTAGACAAGTGAGTGAGTGAGTGAGTGAGTGTGTGTGTGTGTGCGTGTGTGTGCGTGTGTGTGGGGGGAGGGGGGGGGGGGGGGGGTACTTGTGTGTGAGCATTAGAGAGATATTGAGACGGGGACGGACGGATGGGGGGGGGGTATGTGCATGGTGCTCCACTGTGCTTACACGAGTAGAGAAGTGGTCGAATATTACACCCCAATGACAGAGGTATGTTCCTTTCCTCGTTGTACCCTCTCTGTCTTGTCCAGGCGATGGGTTTCATCGGTACCACAGCAGAGCAAACAGCCATAGCTAGTACAGAAGCGGCAACGGCAGAAGGAGCAGCAGACACGTCACAGCGCGGCGATTCTTTTGCTCCTGCAAGTAAACCTGATCAAACACGTCTGAGACAGGTCAGTACCAATACCAGTGCTGCCAACTTTCCGTATTTTTCCATATTTGTACGGAAAATCACTCCTTCGTCCGCAGTACGGAATTCGAGCAAAATGGTACGGAAAATTGACGGGATCGATCAGCATTATAGGTATGCAGAAGCATGGCATGCGCAAGCTGAGCGATCAATATCCCTGTGCCAAAGCGAGTGCATGTCAAACTTCGTCTACATGTAGCACAAATTATCATGCTGTGGTACAGTCACACATGTTTTGCACTAGCAAATTCAGCCACGGACAAGCATGCGAGTGTCAAAAAAGCACAATACAAGCAATACACACGGCAGTACATTGGTAGTACGGAAAAACACTGCAAAATACGGAAAATCAGAAGTCGCAGTACGCAAAACAGACCCAGTTGGTTGGCAGCACTGCAGTACTATACATCTACTGCAGTAAAACCTGTAACTAAAGACCATCGTGACTAGCAACCAGCCTGCTACTGCAGTAAAACCTGTAACTAAAGACCATCGTGACTAGCAACCAGCCTGGTACTACAGTAAAACATGTAACTAAAGACCATCGTGACTAGCGACCAGCCTGGTACTGCAGTAAAACCTGTAACTAAAGACCATCGTGACTAGCGACCAGTCTGGTACTACAGACCACTTGGCCAGGCACGGACGGTCTCACAGCTTTCTCTGTCCCCAAGGGGTGGTCGTTAATCACAGGTTTTACTGTACTAGTGGTAGTAGTGTGTGTGTGTATGTGTGTGCGTGTGTGTGTGTGCGTGCGTGTGTGTGTGTGTGCGTGTGGGTGTGCGTGTGTTGTGTGTGACAAGTCGAGTTGTTTATCAATCCATTCTAGCGGTGTGCGAACAATATTCGAAGGTGAAAAGGACATTTAAGACTGGAAGGCTAGATATACATGTATGATTAGACCGGCTGTATTATTGTGCCAATACTCAGATGGCGACAATGACACCTCTCTGCATTGCCATTGATGGACATCCTGCGATGGGTTTAAGTAGGGTATGGGCATTGGCAGAGGAGGGATATCACATCCTGAGTGGAGTGGATATATAGACAGCACAGTTGTCTTCACTGGGCAGGAGACTCTAGCGAGGGTGCACGAGAATAGCTTTTAGCACTTCCACATAAATAGTTTCACGCTAGACATTCCATTCAATGACCGGTGCCACTGGTACGGCGGGTACTCCATGGCCGGGTACCAGTGGCACCGGCCCTGCTTGGTGTTGGTTGTTGTGCTGATGTACTGCTGCGCTGGTTCAGGTTGGTATTGGTTATTGTGCTGATGTGCTGGGGTTGTCTTGCTGCTCAGATTCGTCTTGTGAGTCGTCATTCCAAGAAGAAAGTTTCCCATCACAATGTTGTTGCCGGTAGAGATGACTACTTGCAGCACGGGCACAGTGCCAGCGTTGATGATAGTCTAAATCAGCGCGGCCACAGCAAATCAAGTAAAACATCACAGCGCACAACAGGTACATCAGCCGCTGCCTTCTCACCGTTGCATACGCAACTGACTCGCAGATCTAGCAACTTCATCAGACGACCATTACCTATGCGATCGCGATCACTCAGGTAACCATGGAGTATAACTTGTACTGCACTGTGTGTGTGTGTGTGTGTGTGTGTGTGTGTGTGTGTGTGTGTGTGTGTGTGTGTGTGTGTGTGTGTGTGTGTGTGTGTGTGTGTGTGTGTGTGTGTGTGTGTGTGTGTGTGTGTGTGTCAGGTTGTTGCAGCTGTTACTAACATGTAGTACCAGCTGCATATGCAGACAACCGTGTCCTGTAGATGTTGCTTTACAGTGGGTCTTGTGGCAGCTGCATGTTTGTGTTTCTTCCCTCATGTTAACCCTGTGTTTGCTGTCCATGTGTCTGTGTTCGTACAGTTTCAATCACAGAGTGGATTGCTCCACTGGACGTGCACTAACACCTGATACAGACCTAGCTGAGGATCTATCTACTGGTAATTTGAGATTGTTTTGGACATGTCTCTGTCAGTCTCTCTCTCTCTCTCTCCTATCTCTCCCTCTTCCTCTCTCCTCTCTCCTCTCTCGGTCTCTCTCTTTCCCTCTCGGTCTCACTCCCTTTTGGTCTCTCCCGCTCTCTCTTTCTGTCCTTTTCGGTGTCTCCCTCTCTCTCTTCTCTCTGTCTCGGTGTCTCTCTCCAATCAATCTTCTGGACCATTAATTACATCAAAGCACCATAGGTGGTTTCCCATAGGAATGTGTGTTGTGTGTGTGTGTGTGTGTGTGTGTGTGTGTGTGTGTGTGTGTGTGTGTGTGTGTGTGTGTGTGTGTGTGTGTGTGTGTGTGTGTGTGTGTGTGTGTGTGTGTGTGTGTGTGTGTGTGTGTGTGTGTGTGTGTGTGTGTGTGTGTGTGTGTGTGTGTGTGTGTGTGTGTGTGTGTGTGTGTGTGTGTGTGTGTGTGTGTGTGTGTGTGTGTGTGTGTGTGTGTGTGTGTGTGTGTGTGTGTGTGTGTGTGTGTGTGTGTGTGTGTGTGTGTGTGTGTGTGTGTGTGTGTGTGTGTGTGTGTGTGTGTGTGTGTGTGTGTGTGTGTGTGTGTGTGTGTGTGTGTGTGTGTGTGTGTGTGTGTGTGTGTGTGTGTGTGTGTGTGTGTGTGTGTGTGTGTGTGTGTGTGTGTGTGTGTGTGTGTGTGTGTGTGTGTGTGTGTGTGTGTGTGTGTGTGTGTGTGTGTGTGTGTGTGTGTGTGTGTGTGTGTGTGTGTGTGTGTGTGTGTGTGTGTGTGTGTGTGTGTGTGTGTGTGTGTGTGTGTGTGTGTGTGTGTGTGTGTGTGTGTGTGTGTGTGTGTGTGTGTGTGTGTGTGTGTGTGTGTGTGTGTGTGTGTGTGTGTGTGTGTGTGTGTGTGTGTGTGTGTGTGTGTGTGTGTGTGTGTGTGTGTGTGTGTGTGTGTGTGTGTGTGTGTGTGTGTGTGTGTGTGTGTGTGTGTGTGTGTGTGTGTGTGTGTGTGTGTGTGTGTGTGTGTGTGTGTGTGTGTGTGTGTGTGTGTGTGTGTGTGTGTGTGTGTGTGTGTGTGTGTGTGTGTGTGTGTGTGTGTGTAGCATTATAGTAATAATCCAGATTAATGGGTGCACGCGGCTGCTTCGTGCTACCACTCAAACTATGCTGCTATGATTGCTGGCGCTTTACTGCATGCTCATGCTTTGCTGCTGGCTACAGTCACGTGCGCTGTACATCACGGTATCCATGTCGGTCACACGCCTTGGTGCATGCTCACATGGTACTCTATGCGTCGTGGCATTCTATGTGTCATTCAACGTGACATTCATTCATGCGCGACGCTCAACGTAGGCGGCATGCGTCGTGGGCACTCAACGTGGCATGCTAAAGTTTGCTTAGTTTTATATTTCGATCCGTTCTGTGTGTGGATCACTCTTGTCAGATCATTGTGTTTCACCCACCCACCTCCCATTTCTCATCTCTTATTTACTTTGATAAAGTAAATAAAGGGGTGTTGGCCATGCTCATTTCCGGCTACTCAGGGCTCTCGGTCTTCGTCCCTCGGACGTGACTATCCTCTTGGCTCCGCCAAGATCCTGCTCTCTCTGTAGCCTCTCACTTCGCTGGCCAGCACCCTCCTAACCGCAAGCTACTGTGTGTTGTAGTTAATGTGCGTGTGGTGGTTATTTTTGGTGTGTTGCTGTTTTTAAAACGTTGAAAGTAATTTGCGGTTGGCGTGAGACACTGCCATTGATGGTAGAGTTGAGCGCCAGTAATGTGGACGCAGTTGGTCAGAGGCGCACTTTGCAGGACTGGACGCGAATAAAGCAAGGAAGAACAACGAATGATTTCTGTTAGCCTGGACTCTAATCCATGACCTCTTGGATGCCAGTCCGGTTGACCGAGTGTCAGATATCCAGGTTCGGTCAGCCAAGGGTCGAATATTCGGGGTCGATTAGCCAAGGGTCGGATATTCGGGGTCGATTAGCCAAGGATTAGCCAATATTCGGTGTCGGTTGCCCAAGTGTCGGATATCTGTGATCGGTCAGCCAAGGGTCGGATATCCGCAGTCGGTTATGCATGGTCGGCTAAGTGAGGTTCACCTCGGGATCTGGACTTGCATACCTGAGAGAAAAATAGCATGCTTGTGTCATTGCCTGATACGGTTAGGACTGTCATGCTTGTGTTATGGCTTGGTGCGATTAGGGCTGCTCATTTGTCAAGATTGTTTGGAAAGGAGCAATCTCAATAAGGCTGCACTGGTAATTGTTTGATCAGATCCCAGATCCTTTCTCTCGCTCAGAATCTATCGATCACTTTTGCTCACACTGCTGCCGTTACCATTTGTTTACGTAGAAAAATGGTGATCGGAAAGTCACTCCAGGGTTCGAACGTACTCATCACCTTAAGTTTTAATAATAATGGCATGTTGCAACTCACACCCACGTATATGTGGACCACATGTGTGGTGCACATGTATTTGTGCTTCATACTTCATGTATACAAACAATGATTTTCACCCACCGGACATGTACAAACATCTTGTTTTGACAAAAAATCTTTGGATCCAGTCAACCTTGTTCCCAGGGGCAGGTTGCTCAGATCCTAACCAATGGATCTGGATCAAGATCCGACCAATTGATTGTTACAAGTTGAGTGGACCCTACAGATCTGGGTCTGGATTCCAATGCTCTTTTAATGCTTGTATGGTGTATGTCTGCCGTAATGTGATTGCTGTCATTGTTATTTACCTCCATGTGATTACTGTCGTTAATGTTTTCCTCAATGTGATTGCTGTCATTGTTGCTGGTACTGGTCTGTATCCACAGAGTCAAACTATGATGAGGCAGTGTTTGGATCTCGCCTTGGTCACGGTGACTTGCTGCAAGAAAGACAAGTATCGGATATGGAGACACGCTGGATGAAATCACAGAAGAAATACTTTGCCGCTCCGTCTAACGGGGACGAGAACCTCTTCAATCCTTTCCCAAGTAAGAACCTCAAACAGTGCATGTGCTATATGAATCAGTTTTTTACAGTAATCTTCCAATGTTTGTGTGTGTGTGTGTGTGGTTTGGGGGGGGGGGGGGGTGAGAGTTTGCTAAACAACAGGGGAGATACACGAGCACAAGGTGTGCATGCCCTGAATGCTCCTGTCTGATGTGTTGCCCTCAGCATTACGGCGCAGCCTCACTGATAAAAGCAAGATATTGCCAGCATCTAAACGTCTGAACAACTTCACTTTGGAGCAGCCAACAGACCTTGTCAATACCAGGTACAGTGTACATGTGTATACATTGCTAGGATTAGCAATTGCTTGTTGGATTGATTTTAGTACATATCGTATTTTCCGCAGTATAAGACACGCTAGAGTATAAGACGCACCCAGATTTTGTTGTCACAAAATACAGCCATCTACCCTGTATTATACAGACATCTACCCTGTATTATACAGACATCTACCCTGTCTTATACAGACATCTACCCTGTATTATACAGACATCTACCCTGTATTATACAGACATCTACCCTGTATTATACAGACATCTACCCTGTCTTATACAGACATCTACCCTGTATTATACAGACATCTACCCTGTATTATACAGACATCTACCTTGTATTATACAGACATCTACCCTGTATTATACAGACATCTACCCTGTATTATACAGACATCTACCTTGTATCCCCCCCGTTCATTTGACCATTGTAGTGTAAACCACACTGACTTTTTGTTTGTGGGTGAATTATGAGTGTTAAAAGTGCGGCTATTACTCCGAAAAGTACGGTAGTATGTGGTATGAGTATTGTATAGCTGTTGTGTTGCTCACCTACCTACCAGTGCTGTACACCTACCTACCAGTGTTGTACACGTCTAACCCTGTACCTACCAGTGTTGTACACGTCTAACCATGTACCTACCAGTGTTGTACACGTCTAACCCTGTACCTACCAGTGTTGTACACGTCTAACCATGTACCTACCAGTGTTGTACACGTCTAACCCTGTACCTACCAGTGTTGTACACGTCTAACCCTGTACCTACCAGTGGTGTACACGTCTAACCATGTACCTACCAGTGGTGTACACGTCTAACCCTGTACCTACCAGTGGTGTACACGTCTAACCCTGTACCTACCAGTGTTGTACACGTCTAACCCTGTACCTACCAGTGGTGTACACGTCTAACCCTGTACCTACCAGTGTTGTACACGTCTAACCCTGTACCTACCAGTGTTGTACACGTCTAACCCTGTACCTACCAGTGGTGTACACGTCTAACCCTGTACCTACCAGTGTTGTACACGTCTAACCCTGTACCTACCAGTGGTGTACACGTCTAACCCTGTACCTACCAGTGGTGTACACGTCTAACCCTGTACCTACCAGTGGTGTACACGTCTAACCCTGTACCTATCAGTGTTGTACACGTCTAACCCTGTACCTACCAGTGGTGTACACGTCTAACCCTGTACCTACCAGTGGTGTACACGTCTAACCCTGTACCTACCAGTGTTGTACACGTCTAACCCTGTACCTACCAGTGGTGTACACGTCTAACCCTGTACCTACCAGTGTTGTACACGTCTAACCCTGTACCTACCAGTGTTGTACACGTCTAACCCTGTACCTACCAGTGGTGTACACGTCTAACCCTGTACCTACCAGTGTTGTACACGTCTAACCCTGTACCTACCAGTGGTGTACACGTCTAACCCTGTACCTACCAGTGTTGTACACGTCTAACCCTGTACCTACCAGTGTTGTACACGTCTAACCCTGTACCTACCAGTGGTGTACACGTCTAACCCTGTACCTACCAGTGTTGTACACGTCTAACCCTGTACCTACCAGTGGTGTACACGTCTAACCCTGTACCTACCAGTGGTGTACACGTCTAACCCTGTACCTACCAGTGTTGTACACGTCTAACCCTGTACCTACCAGTGGTGTACACGTCTAACCCTGTACCTACCAGTGGTGTACACGTCTAACCCTGTACCTACCAGTGGTGTACACGTCTAACCCTGTACCTACCAGTGTTGTACACGTCTAACCCTGTACCTACCAGTGTTGTACACGTCTAACCCTGTACCTACCAGTGTTGTACACGTCTAACCCTGTACCTACCAGTGGTGTACACGTCTAACCCTGTACCTACCAGTGGTGTACACGTCTAACCCTGTACCTACCAGTGTTGTACACGTCTAACCCTGTACCTACCAGTGGTGTACACGTCTAACCCTGTACCTACCAGTGGTGTACACGTCTAACCCTGTACCTACCAGTGGTGTACACGTCTAACCCTGTACCTACCAGTGTTGTACACGTCTAACCCTGTACCTACCAGTGTTGTACACGTCTAACCCTGTACCTACCAGTGGTGTACACGTCTAACCCTGTACCTACCAGTGTTGTACACGTCTAACCATGTGTATTGATTCTATTGAGGATAGCTCCTTGGTCCTGTAATAAGAATAAGAATAAGAAGAACAGCTCACATATTACTCAGAATTGAGCTCTACGCATCTGTGAGTGAAAAGGTGCCATTCATGTCTGTTTTCGCCTAAGACAGGTCATAGGTCCACTGACAACTTCTTAGTCCAATATGTGCCGTTGTGTCCGATATTCACTAACAGTCTGTGCCGCTGCTGTTGTTTTAGGCAATGTTTTACTCTGTGCTACTGCTTGCAGCCTTCTGTACCAAGCTTACTGTTTATCACTGAATGTTGCACACATGACTCCATTCCACACTGAGGTTAACAGCTAATGTGAATACACAAGAACTAACTGTCTCTTCTGTTGTCTCAGTGGGTTCTGTTCTCGTTGTCCTGTGTGGGTTCTGTTCTCGTTGTCTCGGTGGGTTCTGTTCTCGTTGTCTCGGTGGGTTCTGTTCTCGTTGTCCAGTAGCCTGTGAATGTACAGTGCTGGGGCCACTGCCAGTGCTCTAATTCGTCTGTGTGTTGCTGTTTGATTATGCATAGTGACAATCAGAGTTTCCTGTACGAAGTAACGACGGGTGTGCTGGATGGTCGCGGCATACCCTGGTTGAAGCAGAGAAGAGTAGATCGGCTGTTGATGACGGAGTGTTTGCGACAAACCGTGCTCAACACCATCAGTGAGGCTACTGGCATTGCATCATCTTCCAGCGGTGTGCCGGATATCGTAAGTTTGTTTTAGCGTTCTCTCACGTCTTCCGTCACTGTTTAGAATGTACTCCCCCTGGAAATATACACTCTGTGACTACGTGTGACCTGTCTGTTCTGGTGAGTTGAGCTATGAGGAATCGAGCAATAGTGACTCAGAGGTAGATTCGGACGTTGCCTTTTTGTATAATAATGTACATGCTCCAAGGAAGCATATCCACTCACTTTATTGAGCTATGTTTTGTTCCTATGTACCCAATGCGTTGATCACATGATCATCATTTTAGAATGCGGATAAAAAGTCACCAAGTTTTTGGTTCCGGAGGAAGTACTCGTTAAAAGGGATCCCGCTTCCATCCCGTTACTGTTCTTGCGGGGGGGGGGGGGGGGGGCAAGGAGGCAGTGCCGGGGTCTGATCTACTTACTCCCACTGCTAAAGGACCTTCATCTGACCACCTTGATCTGTGTGTTTGGAGGCATACAAATGAATTGGGCCAGCCAGGTCAACTGAGTCTGGTGCAAATCGGGAATGTGTTCATTTTTCATGTGGACGCAAAGCACATTTTTTGTTCTCTTTTCTTCACAGTTGTTCTATGTTCTGTGTGTTTCTGTGCGTGTGTGTGTGCGTGCACGTGTGTGTACGTGCACATGTGCACGTGCGTGCGTGTGTGGGTGTGCGCACGCGTGTGTGTGTGTGTGTGTGTGTGTGTGTGTGTGTGTGTGTGTGTGTGTGTGTGTGTGTGTGTGTGTGTGTGTGTGTGTGTGTGTGTGTGTGTGTGTGTGTGTGTGTGTGTGTGTGTGTGTGTGCATACGTGCATGCTTGCGTGTGTGTAAGAATATTGTGATCTGCAGTGGTTGTACAAGCCGGTATATAAAGGTGTGCATGCGTTGCTCAAGTCCATTCTCAATGGTATTGAGAGTACTGTATCAGCAGGTGGCCAGGAACCAATTGCGTCCAGTTATCATTTTCTGGAGCTCTGTTACTCGCATTTCACTGGCAAGTTTGTGGAGTCAGAGAAAGGCACTCCACAGCCCATCACCACTCTACGACAGGTGGGCATTGCTTGTTGTTGTTACTTGTACTGTTATCATACTCATCATTATCTTTATCACTGACTTCATCAGTGTTATTGCTGTCGCTGTGGTCATTCAAGGGCGTCCTGTGTTCTGTCCTGTGTCCGGTCTTGTGTTCTGTCCTGTGTCCGGTCTTGTGTTTGTGTTGAATACTATGCACACATGTTTTGTAGTGTTCGGCAGGTGAAACTGAGACAACTGGGACATTGGAGTCGACAACTGCAATAGATGCAAGATTGCGAAAGACCAGTGACTCTGTGTTGATTGATGGTAAGTACGGTACAGCATGAACTACATCAGTACATGTGAATACATGGTCAGTACGGTACAGCATGAACTACATGTGTACATGTGAATACATGGTCAGTACGGTACAGCATGAACTACATCAGTACATGTGAATACATGGTCAGTACGGTACAGCATGCACCCAGTGTGGTTTACGGAAGTAAATTTGAAACTGAAGAAATGAAGGAAGCTTGCATAAACCACGTGCATAGGCGGTTGTGCTATGTGAAATCCGACCCGAAGTGCAAAGCTGGCGCCCTGGACCAGTTCCCGTTACGTAATTATATTCGTACATGTGTACACCCAGCAGCATGCGCACTACATGTAGACATACCGTACTCGCGCGATTAGAGCCCTCTCTTGAATAGTGCCCTATCTCGAATACTGCCCTAGTCTCCAAGAGCCAGTGAAAAATAAAGCCCTCTCTTGAATAGTGCCCCCCCCCCCCCCCCCCCCCCCCCCGTCCGTCTTGTAACCAAGCCCATGTGCAAGTTTGGTGTTCTTTTGCTAATGTTCTTGGCCATTTCTTGGCAGTGGCACTGGTGTTTTCAGGAACAAAATCGCAGGTCTTGTTCCCGTTTCTGTGGAGTCGTGAGCGTTTACAGTACACTTTAGGCTCTGTTTTTCTTTGTTTTATGCTGGTTGATGCAAATGTACCAGCAATGAAAAAATAGTGCCCTCCCTTGAATAGTGCCCTCTCTTGAATACTGCTCCATCTGTGATGGACATTGAAAAAATAGTGCCCCAGGGGCACTAATCGCGCGAGTACGGTACTTCCATTGAAGTAGAAAGAATGCACGAATATTCTCCTTACCGCCAATCACATAGGCGATGCGTTCAATCTATGGAAGTACATGTGTAACGCTATACTTCTTACGCATGATCTTATTTTGTGTTTGAAATTGCATCCCCGTGTAGCAGACAGCAGCTCAGCACAGGAGATGAAATACAGAGCTCTCTCGCTTCCACCTCAGGCACTGCCACTAGATCAACGCGCTGGTGGATTTCCTGATCGTTCACCGAAGACAGGTGTGTAGCTAGTACTACATGAGCCAGAGCGCGCTAAAACATGACCACGGCTTTTTTTTGAAAAGTAGAGATAATCGCGATTTGAATTCCGCGGCAAAAAATACGAAGTGCAGTGCAACGCGAGTCGCTGTTGTTGTTCTCCTCGGTCGACTGGACTGTTCCGGATGCAATTCTTTGTTGCAAGTAAGTTTATTTGTTAGAGTTTGTATTCCATGTTGCGCTGAGTCGCCTAAAACTGATCGTCATCGATGTATCGACAGAAGAGCCTAGTAGTAGTAATGTACTGCGGAGCGGAAGAAGACGACATCATCGCACTCCATGTGCAGGATAAAATATTTTGAGGATTCGAGTCGGAAACAGAAGGAAGACGATGATGGCTACAGCGACGAGTCATTTGAGGGCGACACTTTCATCGAGCGTAAAGAGAATTGATGCTGGTAGTCCCACGATCTGCAGTGATGAGGAATTCTACTCTGATGACAACCTGGCAAGCGATTGGCATCGACACTGACTTGGGAGGTGAGTCGGCCGATGATTTGGCCAGAATGGACATCGCTGCACATATCCGGGACAATGCCAGTATTGGTTGCAAGTGCAAAAACAATCACTGGACTCTGCTGCTCCCTCAACTTGCTCAAGTCGATAATTTGAGTACCCTTATGCGGAACATCGCTAGCATGAGCAGTATGCAGCGAAAGCAGTACTCTCTGGCGAGCTGAGAAAACCGTGTGCAGATGGGCTTTGGTGTGGGGAATATGAGTGCGACGTCTAGTATGTTGAGGAACACTGTGTGCAGCAGTGTATACTGTATATCTGAAAGTACAGGTGGAGTGTGATGGAGAGGACATGGAGTGCCAACTTCTTGGGCCATCTACAGATGTTGACCGTGTTTTCGCTGGCGGTTCTCCAGTGGTGCTCCAAACAGGAGGTATTTCGGACACCCAGCTCAGCTGCCTATAGACAATTTGGATGTGGCTGAGTACCTGTCAGCTCATGCTATAAGACCCTGGACAGAGGAACTGACCCGGAAAGGATGAACCAAGGGGCATATCAATTGTGTGCAAAAATTACAATCCCATTGCTGTACATAGAATTTCACCATTTCAACAGTGCTGCATATAATACCATTGTAGCAACACTTAGACATGTCGGATCAATCCAAAACTTTCAGACAGTGAACATTAGGTGTGTTAGATCATTTTTGAACAAAAAACTGAAAATCGAATTTTTGGTCTGTGGTCATATTTTGGCGTGCTCTGGCTCACATGTACATGTACGGTGTTACTGCTCTATGAAATACAATCGTGTGAGTTTGCACCCTGCACCAGTTCACCATGCCAGTGTGTGCAGGTCTATTGGCTGCACATCACCCAGTGTGGCATTGACTCACTTGATTGGCTGTACATCGCCCTGTGTGGCATTGACTCACTTGATTGGCTGTACATCGCCCTGTGTGGCATTGACTCACTTGATTGGCTGTACATCGCCCTGTGTGGCATTGACTCACTTGATTGGCTGCACATCGCCCTGTGTGCCATTGACTCACTTGATTGGCTGTACATCGCCCTGTGTGCCATTGACTCACTTGATTGGATTTCATTGAGCAACACTGTAGTGTGGTTAGTGTATTTTTAGTGTATTGCGATTCTTGCTGCGGTGACAATGTTGCAGTCTTCTGGTTGCGATTCTGAGGTTTTGGGTGATCCAGGGTAGAGGGTATTGTGTGGTTTGCGGAGTGATCAGTGTTGGTGGATTGTCTTAGAAGGACAGAACCGAGCTGTGGATGTAAGCAAGCACCTTGCTGGGGTGTTAGCACATTGATAATTCCCGGTAGGCCGCGTACTAGTATACTGTTACCGTATTTTCCGGAGTATAGTGCGCACTTTAGATGTGCTATTTTAGGCCCTAAATCGCAGGTGCGCACTATGCTCCGAATATGAAATGCATGTATTTCAATGAAGATTGAAGTGCGCACCCCCAATGAAGATTGGGGGTGCGCGTTATACAAAGGTGCGCACTATACTCCGAAAAATACGGTACTATCATGACGAGGATCTTCTTCTCCATTTCCTCTATGATGAGTGTCTTAGGTCAGCGTCGGTAGGACTAGTATCCATGGGTGTATGCCACACTACCCACAGTGTACTGCACGCTTGCCGCATGTATCATTGTCGGCACTTACTCTACATAGCGCTGGTTGTTTACTCTCCAGCGTGACAACTGTTCCTTGAAGGAATACAGCGTCTTCCTCTGCTCTCTGTTCTCGGCCATTAGAGTTTAGAAACTCGTGGCCATCTCCTGAAAAGCATTGTTCAAGTGCTCTGACATGCGCTTCTGCTCCGTTGGCATGTCGGCCAGTAGGTTCTGTACATTAACAGCACCTGCTGACTAGACACACCACTACCCATTGATTCATCTTTAGACACAGCTACTCAGAAGTGTTGTGGCAGGTTTCTGGCTGAGGCAGCATTTTTCCTCGTGTGACCAAACCAGGAGTGATCTTGCCGTGTCGAGCAATCGAAAGTGATTGACACTTTTTTTGTGGATGTGTTTGTGTGTATTGATGACAGGTCGTGTCTCACCGCTGGGCAGAACGTCAGGTAAAGATGGTCTAATACGGCGTGCTACTCCACTACCGAACATCATCCACCCAGCAACAAAGGCTGAGGAAAGTCGATCTGCTGCTGCCGCTATTGCTGCTGCCGCCACCGCTGCTCATCAGTCATCACACAAGACCTCACCTGTTCTTGATAGGTGAGAGAGCATCACCTAAATAGTACATCACCTAAATAGTACATCACCTAAATAGTACATCACCTAAATAGGACATCACCTAAATAGTATATCACCTAAATACTGCATCACCTAAATAGTACATCACCTAAATAGTACACCTAAATACTGCATCACATACTCAATTTGCGGACAGAACTGTTTCGTCCTTTGTGGACTCGTCAGCGCAGCACAGAGAAAATGAGGCCGAACCTGATAGCAATGAGTAATCCGAAGCCAGATTTAAGCCAGGCCCGAGCGTACCTTGCCAGAGTGCTCAAACTGACAAGTCAGTGAGCTCCGCATAGCGCAAACAGCAAAGGCACTACCCCACACGAGAGTGCTCAACTGCTACAAGAGCAGGAGTGAAATACTCAATAAATAATGCATAGGCAAGATAGTGCATAACAAGAGCATGCAACTTCTGAGCATGCAAATCCTGTTGTGAGCTGCGGTCGACTCGCCCACGGCAGGATTATCTATCATGTCATTTATTAGCAGACGCATGATAAAGTATGCAGAGTGAGACTACCCCATGCTTGTCAAGTACGCACACGGTGTCAGTCCATCAGGCTCAGGACCACCAATAGATCTACTGTGAATCCTGCCCTAGACAGACACGCCCTAGACAGACGCCCTTGGTGCCGCGGAAACTGTCCTGATATGACTGAAATTCCGCTTGATCCAGGGATGCAAGTTCGATTCACAAAATGTTGGTGCATGCAAGTCATGTACACTTTGATTGCCGTACAAGTCATGTACACTTTGTATGCTGTCTAGGTATGGTATGATGCCATCAATGTGGCAAACATCGCGAGTGGCTGATGTCATAGAAAATTCTTGAAAACCTATTGTGGCTTACATGAAGACTGCAGGCGAAATTGCCGCTCTCTCAGGTGTGAATTACTCCCATGGTGGCACATGATATAACATGTGTCCACACAATGCCTTCAAATGTACCTCGACTGCCCCAGATTACTTAGACATGTGATCATTGCCGTGGCAACCTATCTATCAACCGATGAGCCCTAATCGTGTAGACGGGATGTTTGTCGCCCACTTAGGAGCACCCGCTTACTAAGTACTTGCCTTGTACATCAGTCCGTACATGTGCATTGGCCACTGCATGACGATATTGCTGTGTTTTGTTCATTTTTCCCATTTGCTACATGTTTGCAGAAAGCAGCTCAAGTCCAAATCAGATTTGTCTCCTGACAGTGGGTCATCGAGGAAGGAAGATGGATCAGATCGCAGGTCAGCGCAATACTGTAGCTGCTGCAATATTTGTTTAGCAATTCACTTGATACAGCGCTCTGCATCTGGGGCACACCCTGTGTGTTATTTGTTTAGCAATTCACTTGATACAGCGCTCTGCATCTGGGGCACACCCTGTGTGTTATTTGTTTAGCAATTCACTTGATACAGCGCTCTGCATCTGGGGCACACCCTGTGATACGTCTGCAGTGTGCGGGACCTCTTCGACAGCTGTCCGATCTGCTTTTATGGTGGTATACATTCATGTGTGTGTCTGTGTGTGTGTGGGTGTCTGTGGGTGTCTGTGTGTCTCTGTGTGTCTGTCTGTGTGTGTCTGTGTGTGCGTGTGTACGCACTTATGCGTGCGTACATGCATGCGTGTGTGCGTGTGTCTGTGTGCGTCTGTGTGTGCATGTGTGTGTGTCTGTGTGTCTGTGTGTGTACATGTACTTGTGTTATTGATTCAGGTATCTGTATGAGGAGTTCATAGGCAAGCAGCGCAGTGCATTGTGGGACAAGATGGGATTCTGGGAGACTTTGTTTGGTGATATTGTAGCACAAGAGAGACAAGCCATGGGTCTTAATGACAATCCAGTACAGCTGATTGAACGGTATGTTGAAACAAGCTATATGTCTCCTCTCATCTCTTGTCATCCTTTGCGGTGCTTGATGTGTTTTCCTGGGCATATGTTGTCCTATTACTTCTTCAAGTAGTTTGGGTTATTTTATTCATGCACGCAACGTTGAAGTCGATGTTGATTCCGAGGAAGCCTTTCGTTAAAGTTTCGTATAACTACTCTTCAAATTGGCACATTTCGTCAATGCGATCTACCATGCAAACATCAATGAATACAGCTTTCTGGCAGTGCAGCTGTAACAGAACTGAGAAAACATGCCGTTGAGATGACTGTGCTTAGTGGGTCAAAGCACGAAGTACTATTATCGTATACTCAATAGTAGACTCAATACCACCATACAGCCACATAGGGAAACAAACAGTTCACACATTGTTTCATGTTCCACTATTGCCTTGGCACCCGTAATGCAGCCTACGGGTGCAGCAAGCACCTGGAATGATGCATTGGTGGCCGCATTTTCGTTGTGTGAACTGAAAACAAAAACGAAAATTGAAAAATGCATAGGTGGGGCGCTATCAGAGTAGGGGAGAGGGGGGGGGGGGGGGTTGATCAGAGTACACCCCCCCCCCCCCCCTTGGCTAAAAGCCTGCCGTATTTTCCGGAGTATACCGGTATATTGGAGTATAAGCCGCACCCAGATTTGTTGTCACTAGACACAGACATCTGGCCCATTACTAACCACCGTTAATTAGACCTTGGTAGTACAAGCCGCAGCACTGACTTTGTTGGGTGTTTAAAGTGCGGATTATACGCCGGAAAATGCGGTATGTGCAACATGTTCAGAGCCTACTCTCATGGGACGTTTGCGACAATGACGTCATTCGCTGAAGTGGCTTTTTGGGTGACCTCGCTGCTTGTGCTGGCCACACACCTGGTTTTTTGGTCGTCCTTTGCTTTGAAGTTTTCAGTTTTTTTTTGTTGACAGTCTACGGCACTAGAGTGAAAGGGCTTGCGGTTCAGTAGTTGATGCACTAGTGGTCCGAAGGGGCTCTTACGCTTGACAATGCTGGAAGATATCGAGGCAGTCAGTCTACCAAAGCGATGCTCCATCTGCAGTGCATTGGATGCCTGTGCATGTGTGCGGTACTCCAGTGCATGTATCAGACTGCTGTTGGGACAGTGCCAGCAGTGTCTGAAAGCGGTCACATAGTGCCAAGATGGAGCACTGAGCCTTGTTGCTGCCCTTGAATGCTTCAGATGCATGTACAAGGTCAGCAAGCTCCCTCACTGTGTACACTGTAGGACTGGTGGGTGTGGGCTGCTGAACAGTGCTACTCAGTATTGAAGAAACTGTTGAAGTAACCGGCGACAATAAGTCGAAAAGCGCTGGGCGTGCGGCCGCAGGGCGGTATTGCTGCTTACAATACCAAACAGCTTCCGCTACTCTGCTGGTGAATCCGGGTCCTGCATGTCAGATTATTGTGTTGTTGTTGTTTTTTGGGGGGGGGGGGGGGGGGCTTAGAAGAAATGTCCTGTGTAGTCATTCTGGTGAGCTCTCCTCTGCTGTTGCTGCTGCTTTGCTAGGTTCCGTCGTCTCAGCTCTGTCGATCGTGTGTGCTTGGAACATGAAGAAGACCTGGCCCTAACTGGTCTACTTGTCAACATGGCAGCATTCATGGTTGCCATGGGAGCTGAGCATGGTCAGATCACCAATAAGGTATGTGTCCTGTACCTCTGGAATGTGTTATGTAACTACTTACTGTATACACAGTGCATGCATGCATAGAATAGTACTATGTGTACTGTTTGTTCAATCATGCAGACCAGGGAGTCGTACTCAAACTAGGGAGGTGACACGGCACAGAAATCCGTGTCACAGGGGTTGACTCGCACCCTTGACCCCTCGTTGTTATTTTTGGAATAGTTCAGTCCAGTCCAGTCCGAAAGGTCATACTTGGATCGACTCGCCTTCTGTACTTCACCTCCAAGCGTGCAACGCGAGACCTGCAAAGTATGATTTTTCTGTGGGGAACGATTTTGCCATTGATCAAGTTTTTATTGGAGTGCTCAGGCATACTACGATTGCTGAGACGTCCCGAGCACGCTTGTTCAGGTTCTCTATCTTTGACGAGCCGGTCCTACAGCCCCCTACATTGTATCTAACGACGTAGGAGCTGACAATGTAAGAGGATTTCCCTGGAAATAATGATGATGGTGGTGTGACTGCTGCAGGAAAAATGCTGGCTGTTTATGACAGTATGACTAGATGTACAATGTAGCTCTCTTGTATGGTACTTAACCCCTGCTATAAATGTGTTGTTTAGGAAGACTGGTGTATTGTGCAAGTCATAAAGAAGAAATGGGGCAGATACACGACTTACAATTTTCAAAAACCAGCTTCGTGTTATGTCTAATTTGTGTCAAAATTGTAGTATTTAGACATGACAATATCATTGGCTGTACTTCTCTAATATGGTACATAACCCCTGCTATAAATGTGTTATTTAGGCAGACTGGACCATTGTGCAAGTCATAAAGAAGAAATGGGGCAGATACACGACTTACATTTTTCAAAACCTGGCTTCGTGTTATGTGTAATTTGTGTCAAAATTGTAGTATTTCAACATGACAATATCACTGGCTGTACTTCTCTTATATGGTACTTAACCCCTGCTAGAAATGTGTTGTTTAGGAAGACTGGTGTATTGTGCAAGTCATAAAGAAGAAATGGGGCAGATACACGACTTACAATTTTCAAAAACCAGCTTCGTGCTATGTGCAATTTGGGTCAATTTTTAGTATTCGGATTAACCTAGGATACGACTCTGAACAGTTCTGAACAGTTACCGTAACACTACACGCCGTCTCATAACTGCTGCTGTTGCCATCACTGCTATCAATTAGTTCGGACATGGCAGGAGGTAAACAAATTGCTGGTAGTCTTTCAAAGAATACTGGCGAGTGATGGGCTGTAAACGAAATGTGCTGCCTCATTAATTTCAAAAACTAGACACCCATGCGGCACGCTTGGAGGTGAAGTACAGAAGGCGAGTCGATCCGAGTATGACCTTTCGGACTGGACTGGACTGAACTATTCCAAAAATAACAACGAGGGGTCACGGGTGCGAGTCAACCCCTGTGACACGGATTTCTGTGCCGTGTCACCTCCCTAGTTTGAGTACGACTCCCTGATGCAGACTAAGCATAGCAACGTTATTATCTTTATTCTCACGATGGCCGTAGCCAATAAGAGAGAGACAGTACTATGTGTTTTTCAATCAGGGTGGGTGCAATAAACCGGGAGAAACGGTGGCTAGCAGCAGCCGTGGTTTGGGTGCTTGTCTCATGACTGTAGCTTTGGTGTCCTGTGTGTGTAACTGTACCATCGTACACACCCCATAGAGATGTTCATGCACACACACACACACACACACACACACACACACACACACACACACACACACACACACACACACACACACACACACACACACACACACACACACACACACGCACACACACACACACACACACACACACACACACACACACACACACGCACACACACACACACACTTCCAGCCAAGCAAGTGTCAATGAGTGCATGCTCTCTCGTTGGCACCTCCAGCAAGGATATCAATGGTTGTAAGGCGATAAATAAAATAGTGAAGGTCTTGGAGGATACCTTCAATACATGGCTGGTGGTTTTTGTCTGCCTGTACCACCCTGGGTTTCAACCTGGGTCTTACCCTGGGTCCCACCCTGGGTCTTACCCTGGGTCCCACTCTGGGCCAACTAACTTGGCCCAAGAGGCACTTGTACCAGTAGTTGTAGAACTCGGTGAGACATGTCTTGCCACCACCACGGTTAGGTACTGTATCTATAAGTATTGCTGGCTTATTTCAACTTATTTGGGTGGTAGCGTCCATTACACGGACCCAGGTACGGTAACGTAGATCGCTCTTGTTTCCATTGCTGGCAGGTCACATCTCCTTCCAGTATTTTAGCTTGTATTTGCACTGCTGATGCCTCATTGGCTTAAACACAGTTATCCGTTTGCTGCATGGAGTATTTCACTCCTTGATTCAGTCGGCCTTCTAAGTAAAGTAAAGTTTGCCCGTCCACGTTACAACCGGCTTTACAATTGTGTTAGAAACACAACCAACTTGTAGGAAGGTTTGCTTGTGCCAGGCCACCACCATGCCTGGTTGGTTTGCCAGATCACCAGGATGCCTGGTTGGCTTTGGTCTTCTAGACTAATATAGAGCACTCTTAATTTATACATGCACTGCGCTTGTTGCCCTGCTTGGAAGCAAAAGGGGTTCCAACCGTGCCAGTGTGACCCACACTGGCCACAGTTAATTGGGAATGTGTTAGTAGGTCTGATAATGTGAGATCCTGTCGGTGCGGGTTTTGGCCTGATATGCTCTCCACTGACTGCTGTCGATCTAAGTCTATATCAGTCTGCCGCCTGTCTAGATGTCTTACTATCTGTCTGTCCATCCGTCCGTTCAGTGATCAATCTGTCTGTCTATCCATTCAACCGTATATCTGTCCATTTGTCTGTAACTTTGTGTGCATGTGTGTCCGTATGGTTCTGACTGCAGATTCGCCGTCTTGTTGGCCGTGCCCATATAGGTCTGCAGTTTAGTCAACATGTCTATGACATTCTGCGTGTACTCAAGCCAGCTGTAAGTTAATCATGATGACGTCATCGCCGGCTTACTGTCTGATGTCATTACCTTACTCTCCGCTCTCAAGTACTGTGTACATGCATGCATACAGAGGGGCTCTTGCGGCAAACGTCCAGGATTGCTTCATAGTTAATTCAGATCTTCTTGAATCTTACTTGTGTGCACTGTGTTACTACACTGTAATTTTAAAATAAATTATGGACAATTGGAATTTGGGATAAGAGGAAGGATAACATGTTACGAGTTATGGCTAACTCCGAGTTTGAATTTGAATGTTGGCGAAATCAGTTGTTTCCACTCGCAAATCTGGATTTTTCACACTATCTGTTTTGATTCTGGTTCTGAGTTGGGATTTAAAGTTTTTTTTTTTTTTTACTTGAAACCACGCACCCAATTCGTAAAACAAGAAAGAAGGAGGAAATGACAAAACAACAGACTAACAAGACATTGACTGAATGGGGCTGCAAATGCAACGCAGCGGTGGTGATGGGGTGCTGCAGGCTCCGCCGACCAATAGTTTCGGCATCCGCGCCTATTTCACGCATCAGAAAATCGGGAGAAGAAGAGAAGCGAAAGAGATTGAAAAAAAAGAAAATAGCGAAAGTATAGTGTGGAGAGAGAGAGAGAGAGAGAGAGAGACAGAGACAGAGACAGAGACAGAGACAGAGACAGAGAGCGAGAGACAGAGAGTAGAGAAAACATGGAAAAAGAGAGCAATACCTACATGTAGATACTAGATAGGTGCGATTAGACTGAGTCAGTAGCCCACATCCAGTTCTCGGCGCGCAAGTAGCGGTATACCTGCGTCTTGAATGCCTGCATTCGGCTGTGATGGGGAGGATGCAGGAGCAGATCACAGGGCAATGCATACCACTGGTGGAGCACACAGTGGGGAAATGATCGCTTCAGGACTAACGGGGTAGAGGCTGGCAGGCTGGCGTCCAGTTGAAACTGGTGGCCAGCAGCGCTGGCATGGCCGCTCCGGGTTCCCGGGTTGGCCGACTGCTGACGGCGAGCTGGCAGAACCGCGAGAAGTTGAGGTGGACCCGTAATTACTTGTAGCTTGTATAAACAAGCTAGGGCAGCTACTGTCCGTCTGATTGCCAGACTGGGCAGGATTGCTCCCGGACCGATGATTCTGAGGGCGCTGTGCTGGACTCGGTCCAATCGACTGAGGTAGCTGGATGACGCTCCAATCCAGATAAGTGGGGCGTACTCCAGCAGCGGACGAACGAATGCCTTGTACGCGGTTATGCGCCCAGCCGGAGGGAGAAGATGAGCAGACCGGCGCAAAAGACCAAGTCGCTGCCTTGCCCGGGTTGCAACAGACCGGAGGTGCTCCCCAAAAGACAGCTTCTGGTCAAAGAGGACGCCTAGGAGGGTGATCAAGTTTGCCTCAAGGACTTGTATTCCGCCAAACATGATTGGTGGGAGGTGTAAGTCAGCTCTTCGGAGCGTTGCAGTCATTGCCTGGGACTTGGTGGGCTCAAATGCAATCTTCCATTTCTGGCCCCAGTTATGCAGCCGATCGATTGACAGTTGCAGTGAGTGCGCTGCACCTGCCGCGCTGCCATTCGACACAATGGAGTAAAGTGTGGTGTCGTCTGCGTATGCCTCCAGCTGGGCATCATCCACCAGAACAGAGGGTGCATCATTTACGTACAGTAAAACAGTGTCGGGCCGAGTATGCTGCCTTGGGAACGCCCGCAGTTATGGGGTACTGGGTAGACGTATAGCCACCCACCAAGCATCGTAATGAACGTGATGACAGGTACGGCGACAGCCATGTGTGGAGTGGCCCAGTGATTCCTGCATTACGTGCCTTATGGAGACACCAACATGGGACACCCGATCAAATGCCCCAGCAATATCAACAGAGAGGATACGAGCTGCTCCATTTCGCCCGACAGCATTAACCCAGGCATGATGCAGAGCCTGCAGAGCATCAGATGTACCCAATCTTCTCCTGAAACCAAACTGTTGGGAGGTGAGGAGCTGATGGTGTTCCAGATGGTTTGTAACCTGCCTGTTCACAACAGTCTCCATCACCTTGGAGATGATGCTCAGCAACGAAACAGGGCGGTAGTTCTTGAGCACAGAACGCGAAGCCTTTTTGTGGATAGGAGCCACGTTTGCCGTTTTCCACATCTTGGGTTGAATGCCTCGCCGGAAGCAGAGGGAAAATAGCTGACACAGTGGTGAAATGTGCTCCCGCCATCAGTACATGCACTCTCCCACCACCACCACCATCACCACCATCAGTACATCATGCACTCTCCCGCCATCAGTACATGCACTCTCCCATCACTGCATGGGCTCAGGCTGACTCTCCGTCTAAACCCGTGCACCTAACCAGCAACAAAACTACTCAAATTCCGATTCCGACCGTTCAGACAGGTGTTTCAACTACTAACAACAGGTGCTATTGAATAGTGTGTGCATGTACATGACTACTCTGGCCAGTTGTACAGCTAACTATTAACTGATACTGTGAGCTGTCAACTGCCAATAATGTCTTACCACTGGTTACTATCATGTACTCCTCGCTCCTCCGTCCTCCGTCCTCTGTCCTCTGTCCTCCGTCCTGGGGACGAAGTTGTCTGACTTATCATGAGTGTGTGACTTACAGACACCGTATGCATATACACAAAATAAGCCGTTCGGTTGTATGTGTATTGCGGTTACCCCTAGCAACACTGACTAACAGTGGTTACCCCTAGCAACACTGACCAGTGTCCTATCATCTGCATTGTGTTTGCTTCCTTGTGCAGAAAGGAAATGCGTTTGAATTGTGGCCGTTGCGCAGTCGCCAGATTAATCGTCAGATGTTCATGGTACACCAAGGCCGCAACAGAGATGGAGACATGTGCATTATGGAGGTAACTAACAGGTTCAATTGGTGATTGCCAGGCTACTTTAGGTTTGTCAAGTACCTGCAATCCTATAATTATATGAATAAGATTTCCTGACCGTTTTGGTATGACACAAAGATGACCTCGTTGTGTTACTGTGTGCACCTTACATGTATGTGTGTGCCTCGTGTGTGCCTCGTGTGTGCATGTGTGTGTGTGCATGCGCATGTGCCTTGTGTGTGTGTGCATGTGTGTTTGTATGCGTGTGTGTGTGTGCGTGTGTGCATGTGTGTATGTTTGTATGTGTGCGTGCGTGTGTGTGTTTTGCTTGTATGCTGTGTTAGATCTCCGACTTGGCTATTGTGGTTAATGACTGGACAGGTGAAGTGAGGCAGAGGTGGTTCTATGAGAACATTGTTCGTGCCAACTACCATCCCAACTCTTGTGTCCTGGGCATGTGGGTGCGAGAAAGTGACGGTGTCATACCATACAATTTTTGGTGTGTCAAAAAGGTAGGTTTCAGTTTGTGCTACCATCTCCACTTTCTATGGTTGTGTAACGTTGCCGATTCCGTGGGGTGGGATCATGGTCTGTTATCTACTGCTCTGCTGTTCTGCCAGTTGTGGCTAAGTAGACTTGTCCTTGATGGTTACCACTAACATATTCGTGTGCGTGTTACACGATTACGAGTGCTAATCGGATGATGACGTCGCTTGGTTACCATTGACACACTCTATTTCTTTTGTGTATCTAGGGCCGGCAACTTTATGATGCTGTAGAACATTACATCACTGGATCTTCTGCGCCGACTGTGTTTGGTAAGTCTGATCTCCTTCTACTGTGCTGCTCAGCTCAATTAAATCTGATTGAGTGTCGAGTCAACTTTCACTGAGCTCTGAATCCCACGTATGTGCTGTACCCCCCCCCCCCCCCCCCCCACACACACACACACCTGGGAACACTGGGCTATGCACTGGTGCAGGGTGTAGGGTGTAGTTACGCATAATGTGCAGTTTGTTGTCTTTGGCTGTGTGGGTGTGTGCCCGTTTGTGCTTGTATGTGCTTGTATGTGTGTGATGTGTGTGTGGTGTGTGTATGTGTGTATATGTGTGTGTGTGTGTGTGTGTGTGTGTGTGTGTGTGTGTGTGTGTGTGTGTGTGTGTGTGTGTGTATGTGTGTGTGTGTGTGTGCACGGTTTAGTGCACATGTGTTGTGTCTGTCTGTCTGTCTGTCTGGCTGTCTGTCTGTCTGTCTGTCTGTAATTTTATGTGTCTGTGTGTTTGCTTGTGTATTTGTTTGTGTTGTCTCTGTATAGGAAGCAGTGTAACTGGGCAGTTTCCTGTGCGTGTAAGTGCACTAGGCTGCAGTGCACTAGGCTGCTGCAGTGGAGTTTGCTAATCCTTTGAAGAGTGTATCTATCAATTCAAATCAATAACCTCTCATGGAATACCGGTATCTCTTTTCATAAATTGGGAGGGGGATTCTTCTACTTTCTCTACACTTGTGACCAAGTACATGTGTGGAGTGTGAGTTGTAAAAGTACTACTCTTGAATGCACGGACATGCCGACATGCATGTGCATTGACTGTTGCCATGGTCACTATTGGCAGGGTACCGTAGTGTAGCTGTCGTCAATACCGTCATTGTTATCACTGGGTCTGTTACTTTGTGTTGTTGCTGTTCTTGTTTTGAATTCTTTATTCTCACGATGGCACCATCGCCAAAAAGAGATGTTGTTGTTGTTGTGTCCATGGTAGAATGCTGCCAGTCAAGAAGCTGCTATCCTGACTTTATCGCCAGACGGTATTCTGTGTCGCTACACTACGGGACGTGTAAGCTTCATTCTGACAGCGCTGTGTGTGTGTGTGTGTGTTTCTCCAGTAGACAGGAGTGGCAGATGAATACCTGGAGTGCTATCTTAATTAACGTGTTTGAAACCCACTTTCTTGACAATGGTTTTGCGTCTGAATTCCTACGGGCTTTATGAGGAACTACTGTGAAACTCTGAATTCCCAAGGAATTACTGTGAAACTCTGAATTCCCAAAGAATTACTGTGAAACTCTGAATTCCCAAGGAATTACTGTGAAACTCTGAATTCCCAAGGAATTACTGTGAGACTCTGAATTCCCAAGGAATTACTGTGAAACTCTGAATTCCCAAGGAATTACTGTGAAACTCTGAATTCCCAAGGAATTACTGTGAAACTCTGAATTCACAAGGATATGCTGACGGTGAAATTCTGAATTCCTACTGGCACATCCGTGAAAACCTGAATCACAGCAGGGATTACCAAGGAACTCTGTTACAGGCATCACTCAATCCCCATGGGTACAACCAGTTAACTCTCTGAATTTCCATGGCACTACCATGAAAATCTGAATTCTCAATAGGATTACCGTAAACCTCTAAATTCCCACTGGCATGTCTGTGAAACTCTGAATTCCCATGGGTGCGTGTGTGAAACTCCCAAGTGCGTTAATACTACTGTTACATGTAATTGTACGTACTTCTTTCTCCTCTACCGGATTTCCATTCTTGTTTTGTGCAGTGTGTTGTTTTCCTGTGTGGTGGCGCTGTGTAGTAGTGTGTATCCTGCACAAGAATCAGACTAGTATAGAGACCAATAACTCCCAGCTCATGCAGGAGGGTGCGTCAACTACCGGCATACTATCTATCCAGACAACATAGCAGCAGCGATATTTAGAGAGGTTCACATGACATGACATGCTTCATTAGGTCACATGGAAAACACTGTGCAGAGTCAGACTGCAGAGTGGTCACCAGAGTGAGACAGGTGGCACAATGTGCTGAGCTTTTGTCATGTGATGTGAAATTCTGTCATTTCAGACCGACAGGGAGAGAAGTTATTCAGTCTTGGTGATTATAATATTATGATCCTGCTGCTGGGTTCCCATGTATGGTGGTGGTAGTGTATTCTGTCCAATCTCCTCTGCTCTGTTCTTGTTTGTGTGCGGCTGTGCTGTACTGTGTTGTACTGTGCTGTGTCTGTCTGTCTGTCTGTCTGTCTGTCGGTCTGTCTGTCTGTCTGTCTGTCTGTCTGTCTGTCTGTCTGTCTGTCTGCCTGTCTGTCTATTTGTGTGCATGCGTGCGAGGGTGCATGTGTGTGTGTGTGTGTGTGTGTGTGTGCGTTGTTGCTCTTTGCCTGTGGCCGGGTGACTGTGTATGACCAATATACGCACACACACACACGGACGTTCATGTATGTTCACGTGCAGGCTGACGTCATGTATGAGCTTGGCAGCATAGCAGACTGTGCTGAGGAGAGTGATGTATTTCTGCTCAAGACTGTGAATGGTATGTACCAGTATTCACTGTAACTATGGCAACACACCACAAGTCCACGTACATGTTGCAAAAGAAGGGTCCACGAGCGGGATTCCAACCCAGCAACCCAGTCTTTGCGGGACAGTGCCCTACCTATTAGGCTACCGGGGATCACACACACGCATGGCTCCTTCTTGCTACAGTACTACTGTGTATGTAACCATGGTAACACAGTCATGTGTGATCAGAGTAATGAAGTATTTCAGTGGGGCAGTACTGGGTGGGGGCAAGACTAGCTCGAATATATGCACTCACGGCTGGCGTCGTTCATGCGGATATCGTCAGGTGGTGCTCTCGTGCTCAGGTAGTATTTCATGATACTCTCTACCAATCAGGAATGAGTTTGCTCCCACACTGGAGCTCGCGCTATTCCGCCGACTTGACTTGACACTTGACTGACTCATGACTGCCATCCAGAGCACACGAGAAGTCCATCGAACCTTCGACTCGGCAAACCTGCAAGAAAGCACCACTCCCTGCTCAATACACAGTGTTTCGGGGAATTCACCCCTCATCAGTTGAGCTTGAGTAGGCTGAGGAAGATTGTGCCTGAAGAGCACTACTTACATAGTGCTCTCCAGCAATCAGTAATGTTTTTTACAATGCTATTTTGCCCACGTTTCTGTAATGCTATTGTGTGTGTGTGTGTGTGTGTGTGTGTGTGTGTGTGTGTGTGTGTGTGTGTGTGTGTGTGTGTGTGTGTGTGTGTGTGTGTGTGTGTGTGTGTG